CTTGGTTCGGTCATAAATTGATACTTTATTGGCTACCCCTTGGAAAAGAAACAATGCGCGTTATGTAGAAACCTCAGAAGGGAACGCTTTATATTTTTTCATGCGACTAAATCAAATTTATTATTTTAGCAAGTATAAAGTCACAATTTAGCATGAATTAAGTCTAAATTTGTTCCCGCTGTTATAAATTAATTCAGTATTTGCTAAATTTTAACCAAGGCTTTGGTATGCTAATACACAACAAAATTGACATTCTAAAGTCTTAAAATAGCTTTAACTTGTAAAATTTGTCTACTGTTAAGGTTAATTTAAGTTTTTAAACAAGAAAAGACAAGCACAGAAGGTATAGTTTTAGAAATTTGACTAAAAAAGGAGAATTTACACTTTAACATGGTATGTTTCACCAAATCACTTTTTTGTTGCATTTCAGTGTCAACTGCTAACCTTCATAAAATATTTATTTCTGAACCAATTTTCAAAACTAGCAGGCCAATTTGCTCGTTTTAGCTAGCAGAACACAGAAATCCATTTAAAATGGAATTGGAAAAAAAAATGTTTATCCTTAACTTAAGGTAGCAATACACAGTTAGAAGTTTAGTTTCGCATTATGGCCATGGTGAATTTTTTAAATATGAAAGTTTTTGTACAATAAAATTGATTTTTAGATAATTGAAGAATAATATAGACTTCTTAGTGGGTTTATATGAACATTTAGATTGTTTTTAACATGTTTTATAGGCCATTTTTCTGTTTGACAGTCCGTATTTTCCTATCCGTACCGCCCATAGGTTCATAAATTATTGTAGTGTTTGTCAACAAAGATTTTGCGCTCGATCTTTTCAATTCAATTTTATGGAAAAACGAGCAGAAATGCATATGATTTTTTTTGGACCTCTTGATAGATATATGTCTATGGATTCAGGAAAGGTATCACTGTAATTGATTGAAATTTTCCTTTGGACCAAATTTTGGAGACTTTTGTGACATGTTCACCCCCTTTTTTTGCAATATTTTGTATCAAAGAAATGCAGATTGTTGCCATGGTTACACCCAAAAGAGATTATATTTCACCATTATAACCATTAGAAATCAAATCTATTGAAGATTTTCTTTCTATAAATATACACATGCATAACACAAATATTAAGCCTTATTTGTTAGAAAGGAAGGGAAAGAGGGTGTTTAAAAATTATGAGTGTCAATTTTAAGTTTTTTTCCTAACTGTGTTTTGCTACCTTATGGCATTTGACAAAGCACAGAATTGCTTATTTTTAGACAAATCATACCACAAATCTATTGATATTTAGATTATAGATACAATTCTGAGGGAGAAACATCTTTTAGTATGACAATATATGTTAGTTTTGTTGTTTATTGTCCTTAGCAACCAATATAGACATTTTGACACAAAGACTTGGTTCGGTCATAAATTGATACTTTATTGGCTACCCCTTGGAAAAGAAACAATGCGCGTTATGTAGAAACCTCAGAAGGGAACGCTTTATATTTTTTCATGCGACTAAATCAAATTTATTATTTTAGCAAGTATAAAGTCACAATTTAGCATGAATTAAGTCTAAATTTGTTCCCGCTGTTATAAATTAATTCAGTATTTGCTAAATTTTAACCAAGGCTTTCGTATGCTAATACACAACAAAATTGACATTCTAAAGTCTTAAAATAGCTTTAACTTGTAAAATTTGTCTACTGTTAAGGTTAATTTAAGTTTTTAAACAAGAAAAGACAAGCACAGAAGGTATAGTTTTAGAAATTTGACTAAAAAAGGAGAATTTACACTTTGACATGGTATGTTTCACCAAATCACTTTTTTGTTGCATTTCAGTGTCAACTGCTAACCTTCATAAAATATTTATTTCTGAACCAATTTTCAAAACTAGCAGGCCAATTTGCTCGTTTTAGCTGGCAGAACACAGAAATCCATTTAAAATGGAATTGGAAAAAAAAATGTTTATCCTTAACTTAAGGTAGCAATACACAGTTAGAAGTTTAGTTTCGCATTATGGCCATGGTGAATTTTTTAAATATGAAAGTTTTTGTACAATAAAATTGATTTTTAGATAATTGAAGAATAATATAGACTTCTTAGTGGGTTTATATGAACATTTAGATTGTTTTTAACATGTTTTATAGGCCATTTTTCTGTTTGACAGTCCGTATTTTCCTATCCGTACCGCCCATAGGTTCATAAATTATTGTAGTGTTTGTCAACAAAGATTTTGCGCTCGATCTTTTCAATTCAATTTTATGGAAAAACTAGCAGAAATGCATATGATTTTTTTTGGACCTCTTGATAGATATATGTCTATGGATTCAGGAAAGGTATCACTGTAATTGATTGAAATTTTCCTTTGGACCAAATTTTGGAGACTTTTATGACATGTTCACCCCCTTTTTTTGCAATATTTTGTATCAAAGAAATGCAGATTGTTGCCATGGTTACACCCAAAAGAGATTATATTTCACCATTATAACCATTAGAAATCAAATCTATTGAAGATTTTCTTTCTATAAATATACACATGCATAACACAAATATTAAGCCTTATTTGTTAGAAAGGAAGGGAAAGAGGGTGTTTAAAAATTATGAGTGTCAATTTTAAGTTTTTTTCCTAACTGTGTTTTGCTACCTTATGGCATTTGACAAAGCACAGAATTGCTTATTTTTAGACAAATCATACCACAAATCTATTGATATTTAGATTATAGATACAATTCTGAGGGAGAAACATCTTTTAGTATGACAATATATGTTAGTTTTGTTGTTTATTGTCCTTAGCAACCAATATAGACATTTTGACACAAAGACTTGGTTCGGTCATAAATTGATACTTTATTGGCTACCCCTTGGAAAAGAAACAATGCGCGTTATGTAGAAACCTCAGAAGGGAACGCTTTATATTTTTTCATGCGACTAAATCAAATTTATTATTTTAGCAAGTATAAAGTCAAAATTTAGCATGAATTAAGTCTAAATTTGTTCCCGCTGTTATAAATTAATTCAGTATTTGCTAAATTTTAACCAAGGCTTTGGTATGCTAATACACAACAAAATTGACATTCTAAAGTCTTAAAATAGCTTTAACTTGTAAAATTTGTCTACTGTTAAGGTTAATTTAAGTTTTTAAACAAGAAAAGACAAGCACAGAAGGTATAGTTTTAGAAATTTGACTAAAAAAGGAGAATTTACACTTTGACATGGTATGTTTCACCAAATCACTTTTTTGTTGCATTTCAGTGTCAACTGCTAACCTTCATAAAATATTTATTTCTGAACCAATTTTCAAAACTAGCAGGCCAATTTGCTCGTTTTAGCTAGCAGAACACAGAAATCCATTTAAAATGGAATTGGAAAAAAAAATGTTTATCCTTAACTTAAGGTAGCAATACACAGTTAGAAGTTTAGTTTCGCATTATGGCCATGGTGAATTTTTTAAATATGAAAGTTTTTGTACAATAAAATTGATTTTTAGATAATTGAAGAATAATATAGACTTCTTAGTGGGTTTATATGAACATTTAGATTGTTTTTAACATGTTTTATAGGCCATTTTTCTGTTTGACAGTCCGTATTTTCCTATCCGTACCGCCCATAGGTTCATAAATTATTGTAGTGTTTGTCAACAAAGATTTTGCGCTCGATCTTTTCAATTCAATTTTATGGAAAAACGAGCAGAAATGCATATGATTTTTTTTGGACCTCTTGATAGATATATGTCTATGGATTCAGGAAAGGTATCACTGTAATTGATTGAAATTTTCCTTTGGACCAAATTTTGGGGACTTTTGTGACATGTTCACCCCCTTTTTTTGCAATATTTTGTATCAAAGAAATGCAGATTGTTGCCATGGTTACACCCAAAAGAGATTATATTTCACCATTATAACCATTAGAAATCAAATCTATTGAAGATTTTCTTTCTATAAATATACACATGCATAACACAAATATTAAGCCTTATTTGTTAGAAAGGAAGGGAAAGAGGGTGTTTAAAAATTATGAGTGTCAATTTTAAGTTTTTTTCCTAACTGTGTATTGCTACCTAAGATAATTAAATTAATACGACGATGGAAATTTTTAACGACTTGACTGGCTTCTTAAAAGCCCAGATGATGAAGGAAGATTATTACAAACTTGACTAGCTATGTTGCGCATGACCGGTTAGTATACACCAATAATATATTATCCATAGTAGTTCAAAACGACCTTTATTGGCCATTCTGCTCTGACACGATCGATATGTAACTTTTCCATTATATTATACTTTTTATTATGTAGATTAAATAATTGATCACAATAGGTTTAGAATTTAAATTAGGTCAGCAAATTACAATTCAGGAATGTAACTTACTAAAAGTATATTCCTTAGAGGAACACATTAATGTGATGTGAGGTAACTATAACTCATATTTTACAAAAGTAGAATATTTTTGCTTTTTTTGTAATTTCATTAAATTTTGCAAATTAGGGAGAGGTAACTCAGAAAAAGTTTTAACTGTAAAGGAATCGTTTGGATATTTTCTATTTTGTTTTATTATACAAGTGTGGACACAGATCAATGTGGATAGTATGTTTGTATGTTTGACAATGTTTTCTGACAAAAAAAATCTGTGGTTTTCCCCATATGGTTCTATATAGAACTGTTGTGAACTGTGACAGTAAACCTTACCAAAAACTGATAATAGCAGTGTCTGTTATTTAATATTCAGTTTTAATGTTCAAAACTGTCATGAAGGAGACACTACTATAAATCAGTGCCGGCCGTTCATATAATTTATTTAGCTAGACATAGCTTTTAATATCAAATCTACTTATTGGCTAACGAAAAAAAAGTAAAATGACGCCATTTATTTCCTTTATATAATATGAAAGCATTCTGAAAGAGCAACGCTAAATAATCAAATAATCATACATCTAAATATTGTTATACTCATGGACGACATAACATGGTTGTTATGATGCAATATATTTTTTAGAAAGGACAAGGAAAAATCAGCTTGACAGCAATAAGGCCCTGGAGGGCAGTGATGACACTAGAAGAAGGTGATATTATAATATTTCTGGACCGCCTAATAGAAAAAGAATGGTCTATTGATCAATTTCAAAGGGTAAATAAAAGTATTACAACTGTTGAATAAACTCATATTTGTTAACACACACACTTCATTCACTCTCTACAATTGGCATAACAATAACAAAATACTGCATATGTTATAGTAAAATGGTTGGTTTCTTTTTGCCATGTCAAGCATTGTTTTATGGACGTTGTGTTCGTAATCAAAGGTATTGCTAGTATTTGTAATTAATTCTCCATCATTCAGAGTGAACTTCAAAGAAATGTAGAATAAAAAAAGAAGAATCATTTTTTTTAAATTAGTGTATTGAAACATGTTAAAAAGTTGTCACTTCAATCTGCATGTAATTTGTTTTCCTTAAAATTGTATAATTAATAAATATTGTCGTCATGTGTAAATCTTACTAAGAAACTGTGTTCATTTCCAAAGATAAAAAAATGTATTTACAGCTTCGTGTAGCTGCCTTACAAAGTTATATTCAAGATTGATACTAATCACTTTAACTGAAGCTCAATATATTCCTGTAAACAGTTATAGAGGCAACCGTACATTTGCCCATTTTTGATTTCTTCCGTTTTATTTGGCGGACAGATCTCATTATCAAGCATACCACATCTCCTTATATATATCATATTTCAGAAATGTGAGGAGATTAAAGACTACAGGAAATTGCAGAAGAAGATGATGGACCATCTTGATCAAGAGTGGACATCCATCAAATCTCAATACTATGGAGGTGATGACAAAGAAGCTGAGGCAGCCCTACATCCCTATTTAAGGTATTTAATGCATTTTATTAATTCCTTAATTATATAACTGAATGCATATACTGTTAGAAGCCTCAATCATTTCCGGTTTATGTTTTCGTACTGATCCATGTTTATGCCAATATTTGTATGTAACATGATAACACGTAAATTCATATAAGAAGATGTTGTATGAGTGCCAATAAAACAACTCTCTCATCCAAGTCACAATTTGTAACAGTAAACCTTTATAGGTCAAAGTACGGTATTCAACACGGAGCCTTGGCTCACACCAAACAGCAAGCTATAAAGGGCCTCACAAATGACACGTATAAAACCATTCAAATGGGAAAACCAACGGTCTAATCTATATAAAAAACGATAAACCAAAAACTTTTATAAACCCCATCAACAAAAGACAACAACTCAACATCAGGTCCCTGACTTAGGACAGGTGCAAACAAATGCAGCGGGTTGAAACAATTGATTAGGTACCAACCTTCACCTTTACCTGAAACAATAGTGCAACATCACAACATAGAAAAACCCAATATAAATATCAATTGAAATGGCTTAACTCAATCAAAAGACATATGAAAACAAACAAACCAATAGACACTGTACAAATAAATTTGATCTATGACACAAGGTAAATGCAAAACCAATAAAATAGGTGGTGAGATAATAAACTATTTTAGAAAGTCAACCATAACATTGAAAAAAATGCCGCAATATATATGATAGACATAATTTTGTCATGTGACCGTGAAGTCATCAACGTTATTTCAAGATTTACTCTGGTTTAAAATGGAATTAAGAATTAAATTATAAGAAATGACTGTAATTTTTTTCTGCCTATTCAAAATAACATAAACAATATGGTGCACACTTTAAATAACCAGCTACGCGGATTATTCAGTGTGCACCACATTTTTTATGTTATTTCTTCATAGACAGAAAAATATTACAGTCTTTCCTTAAATTCTTTTTAATTGTAATTAAAAGCAAAGGTGTTTGGTGTGAATCTTGAGTGTTTAAATTTTCAAATATTGTTAACCCTGATAATACAACAGTAATTTACAGTAGCTCTTTTATGTACATACTGCAACCGTTCTATCTTCTCTATTTTTCAATGTTAACGTTATTTGTTTATTTAAGGAATTACTGTACAGTAATATTTTTTTCTGTATATGAAGAAATAATATTAAAAAATTGCGGTCGTGTTGCATCAAAAATTAAATTACTTCTACAGGTTAAAATATTTATTTATTGGTTTTATTCCCCCTCCTTCATTTCAGGTTATCAGATTCTTCTGAATTTGATAATTATATTGAAAGATTGAAATCTGTATCAAATAATATGAAGAAGATGAAAACAACTACAGATTTCAACAAAGCTGACTTGATATTTTTATCAGGAAATGAGGTAAGAATTAATAGATTGAAATGGTACTAATACTTATTTGACCTTTTATCTGTAATAATAATGACTGCTTTTGGTCATATGATATCGGGAGATACTGAAGTTAATTAAATTCAAACTCATAAGTAGGAAAACAATTGACATTGCCATGGCAAAAAATAGAGAAAACAAAACATAACAAAGAAAATAATTTTCGGAGCAATGCGTACCCCACCAAAACCAGCACAAAATATAAACAAAACATTACAAATTACAAATTCTGATAGAATTACACTAATTTATTGTTATAGCATTACACTACGTATATTCCTAAAGATTTACAATAAGTATGTTTATAAGTCATCACATAATGACTAATCTTATAGTGAAGCAATTGCAAGGAATTTTATATTTGTAATAAAACTAATGTATGTTATCTTACGGTAAAATTTAATATAAACGGTAAAATTATTTATGTAACAAATCACTGCAAATTTTCAGGTATCGGAAGATGTGATTAGAAAGGTTCATTCAAAAAACATTGAAAAAAATGTTAAATTCTATACAATTATGTCAACGTCAGAACTCAAAGAACAAGCAGAAAAAGTTGGGGATTTTGCATATGGCAAAATAGCCTACACTTTAGGAAAACCATCATCAGGTATATTATCATAATTCATCTTTTGGGTCTAAACGTAAGAAAAGAAAAATGGAATCTGCAATGAATCAAACATTTTCCACAAGTTCTTTCAAATATATCACAAAACTAAGTCTAAATAAAAAAGTAAACTTGAGAACAGTTTATATATATATTCCAACATGAACATAACAGTTGACCTTGAACGCATTTTGCTAGTTGAGGCTAAAGAACCTAATATAAAAAGATCCTTGTATCTCTATACAGATAACAGATAACGAGTTTCAAAAACATAATAGCAAATTAAATTGATATAAGTAGACATTTATTTGTTTCTGTATCGCTTACAATCAGTTGAAACATCATTAGGATACCAGTTCATATTACGAACAATTTTGAAAAATAAAAAAAATATGTCAATATCATTTTGGGGTTTCGGAGGCGATGTGCAAAAGGCTAGTTATGGTCCGAGTAACCAGCTATCGTCCTTTGATTACGAAATAGTCCCTAATGTGGACAGTGTGTTGCTTGCCAATTTTTTCAGTACCTGTTCCAAATGTATTTCTTCATGTTTTATGTCTCAAATAGCAAGGAAGGGGGTGAAATTACACCTTTAAAAAAAATGGGTCATGAATTTTAAAGTTAAGTAGTGATTTTGTCCTGCTGAAAAAGGTTAAAAATTTGCACTTCGGAAGCTGTCAAAAGATTTCAAGACCCCCTTAACAAAGAGTTGTCCATATTTTGAGTTAGAGCCAATGAAGTTTTCTATTATTTTGATATAATTTGTCCCAAAAGTGTACAACACAATGTAAAAGCTGAGTTAAGACATAATTGAAGCAGTACTGTATATAATATTATTTATTTTTTGAAATTCTCTTTTCAGATCAGGAACTTAGAGATATTCAAATTTTATATATAGCACAATTTGGATCAAAGAAAGTCAGAGTAACGGCCGGAAATAAGCCTAGTGAAATGTTGGAATTAAAGGATTGCTTCTCAATGGATTCTGTTTTTAGAATGTTTTTAATTGATGGAGGAGTTATTTTTGTCATGGCCTCAGAAAAAAAACCCTGTTAACAAATTTTAATTTGATAAACACTCCATGTTTTGTTTATGTTAAATCAGAAACAGAAAAAAGATCACTGAAAAGAAAATTTCATTTTATTGAAGAATAAGTTGTTTAATTTTTTCATTTTAATTTTATGATTCCTTATTTAGCAATAATTATCTTCAAAAATTGTTTTTTATTGTTTTCCTCCTGGTAGCTCAAACCTAAAATTATAATTACATGTAAATGCGTATAATCTCCTGGGAAATCACTGTATGTCGATACTTTAAATGTATATTTAAGAAATAATTCATGGCAGCCGTAAATTTGTTTTTATTTAACATGGCATTTATATTCGATTATTTCTCCCTGGGCGTTAAATTTTACCACGAAATATATATATTGAATTGGACTGATTTGTTTATTTTGCTTTAGAATAGAGATTGTATCTGTATCTTGGCCTATGTTAACTGTGGTTTTTCCTGTCGAAAATTGAAAAATACCTGGTAGTAAAATTAAGTTGGGCGTAACGCATATACTTTTGGTATACAAATAATACAAAACAATGGTGGGTATGATAAAGAATGGTACAGGTGTATCAGGAATTATGCTATTTATGTCTTAACTTCAGTAATATACAGCGGTTCTTGTGTCTCCTCTTCTGTTAAATAAAAATAATTACATAAATAGGCCTATCATTTTTTGATAACATGAATATCTAGTAAAGTTAAAAAAAAAAAGGAATATGTTTATTTCGTATGTCTACGACACTCAAAAAGGTTACGAAATTCAGTACCAATTCCTATACGACATAAGTGGCATACTCCTTCTTCTTTTGTAATGTTAACAGTGCAAGATATGGAAACATTTATTTCTTCAGTGTTTTTTAAAGATTAATAATTCAAAGAAACAGCTTGAAATATAATTTTGCCCTTTAGTTGCTTTTGTATGGTGTTACCTTTCGTAAATAATGAACTATTTTTTTATAATTTTTGATATTAGATATTAGATATAAGAATTAAATACAAGAGTCAATTTACATTATAGCCATGAGTAGATCTGTTGATGTGAAAGTATTTTTGCATGCATGATAAAGGTAACCCTGATATCAGTTGTGATAGTTATATTTTTTTTTAGGATTTGTTAATTCTGATTTTGTGCTAACCATTCGTAAGCTTATGTGTACATAATATGTTATTCTATTTTCAAGCATTTATTTTTACGTACTGTAATTATGTTAACGTTTTTTTTTTTTTTAAATATCATTTATAATAAATATGGAACGATTTTCAGTAATTGTTAGACGCACTAAAACATGCAGCATGTAATGTGATATATATTAGCTTGTTAAATGTAACTATAACAATTTCTATGTTTATGATAGGTACATTTTGTGATATAAAATTGCATTTATTTCATATAAATCGCTAGTCATACAAGTAAATCACACCATTAAAACTACTGGTGTTATGCAAAATGAGAAATATATATATTTTAAGTTTGATTTAACAGCGGTATAATGCGTTTACGGTAGCTAGAGTTGAAAAAGGATGAGACTATAAAAGGTGTGCCAATATACAGATTTATAATTTTTTATGATGTTTTTAAATGAGGAAAATATCTTTCCACATTTTGATTTTGACATGTTTCAACTGAACCGTTTCCCAATTTTATTTTCTCCATTCAGTTTAAAAAAATATGCATGTTCATGGTGTAATGATATACATCATCAACGGATTTTCAGAACATAAATTCGAACTCTTATTCTGCCCTTTATGCATTTTTATATCGACCAGTTTCGATAAAAGGTTTATAACTCAGAATTAGAAATTAAAAAAAAAACCACGCATATCTCTTTCACATCTTGAGTGCATTTTTTAAAAGTATATGTTCAGTCTGGGACTAATACTTAATATATAAAAGGTTTTTAACACTTGATATATCAGGTTTAGTTAAATGAATTAACCATAGGCTGACTATGTGATGTTTATAATTAATATTCAAAGGTTACTAATACTACTATATATCTGTGATTGAAATTTTTAAACTGTGATAAACAATTATTCTTTGATTTCATATACTGGGTATATGAATTTTACATGTGATAGCTGCATTTTGTACTGCATACATGTCATGTTGATTAAAGCATTTATGACCATTTTGAATTTTCTGAATGCAAATACTGAATCCTGAATATACATTTTACTACAAATAAGATACGTCATAAGGTGAAGTCCTTGCGCAAAATTTACAGTTTAATGTTGTCATATTTCAGGTATATGTAATTCATGTGAAAACTGCATCTTCATCCTGGTTTCAATTCAAAGTATTAAAACTGAAAAAAAGGAAAATAATAAAGATTTGAATACATATCATAATGTGGTGTTCACTGAATAACTCGAGTATCACATTATTTTAACGTGTGCACCACATTTTTGGAGTTATTACAAATAGACATAAGAAATCTTACAGCCATTTCTTATAATTTATATTTAAATTCCGTATTCAAGGAGGAAATCAGGGGTGGGTCCAGTGTGGGCGTAATGGGCGTACGCCCCCCCCCCCCTTTCCAAAAAAAAAAAAAACAAAAAAAAAAACTATCGTAATCTGCTAATATTGTATTGACTATGGCAATTTATCATATTCATTAATTATTTTATGTTTTTTTAGCAAAAAACCCGTCCAAAAACATGTATTGAGTATGATTGAATTTAGAAAAGATATTGCTTTAAAAATATGAAACTGTAAATGTTGGCAAACTATCGTATGCACTTATAAGGTTATAACAAGATTTCATATTATCATTAGGTATGTACACTGAAATGATACGTATTTTTTGTTCTTGCATCTGCCAGAAACAGGGAGGTAATTCATTACAACTCACACGCAATGTTACTAGTTGCTATGGAAATATTAGAAATGATCCGTTATATATTTCATTCTACGCCCCTCTTTCAAATATCATAGAAACGCCCCTGGAAATCATTAAAAAACGGCAATGCTGCCACGGTCAGATGACAAAATTATGTCTATAAGGTGATAGAATATCAAATTTCACGCAATCATATAACACGTGTTACATTCAATATCAAATTATAAGTATGATTAATTTAATTTAATTCAACCAAGATTGGCATGGCGACAAAAAGACCGGAAAAATTCCAATAAATATTATTTTCAGTTTAACTTACATAAAGGTTATTAGAACACAAGCATCACAAGCATACTTACTGTAAGAATCTACTAAGAGACCGGTATGTCGTCTCTAGTCTAGTTTATATATAAAATCTTATGTACGTATGCATCAGTCTGAAATACAGACTAGAGATGGGAAAAATGTTATCGTATATAAAATTATGAAAGTTTATCTCAAACAAAGTCGTTGTGCCGAAGAGTGCTGCAATTACCAAAAGAAATCAGTAATAAAAACCAGGTTGGTATGCTAGCATACAGACCTGAAAAATAAAATCAAGAAATAAAATGTGAGGTTCAGCATAAACCAGGTTGGTATGCTAGCATACAGACCTGAAAAATAAAATTAATAAAGAAAATTGGAGGTTCAGCATACACCAGGTTGGTATGCTAGCATACAGACCTGAAAAATAAAATTAATAAAAAAAATTGGAGGTTCAGCATACACCAGGTTGGTATGCTAGCATACAGACCTGAAAAAAAATTAATAAAAAAAATTGGAGGTTCTGCATACACCAGGTTGGTATGCAGGCATACAGACCTGATATATATTATTACATAGATAGAGTGACAGTTCAGCATAAACCAGGAGTAAGCAGACCTGACGTATGGAAATTAATCGATAAAATGAGAGTTCAAAATACTCCATGCCGGTATGCAGAAAAAGAGACCTGACAAATAGAAGTAAGAGAAAAAAGACTGATGTTAGCATACTATTCACTGACTCATTTGAAATAAAGATTGGTAAATGCTATGTAATATATATATTAGGAAAATGGCATAAAAGTATAACAAAAATGCAGATTGAGTAATTTACGAAGGTTTGATCGCTTCAACTTTTTCCCGAGTTTTAAAATAGATCATTCTAGCATCCTATAAAAACAGGTAATGCTAAAATGATGCAGTTTGCACTTTGCATTTACACAAAAAGACCAACAATCTTGCAAAAAAATGACTGACAAATATAAATAATGCTATACAGTGACTTTTTAACGCAAAATGTATCAATCATGCCAAACGATGTAGCTTTTTCATATAAAAATGAGTTAAGTGGCATATGAGAATTTCTAATTTTAAATGAGAACGTGTTACATGTAACACTTTGTGACAATTAATTCACCAGTGGTTCTCTAACCTTGTAGACATAATTATAAGCAATTATTCATAGTTCAATTGGTTTTACAAAATATTCAGTAGTAAAGATATTTAAACTATTAAAAGGAGTGACATCTTCTTATAAGGGGCCACATCGAATGATATTAGGGTATCCAATAAAGGACAAATATATGACATGCAACAGAATGAAAAATAGATTCCATGGATTAGGGCTAAAGTAGGAACAATTAGTTTTGATCGAACTATTCCTTAGTAAAGAGCTAATTTAAGCTATTTCTAATATTTTTATGTTCATATTATACAGTAAAACACGAAAATAATTGATTTTAGTGGAAAACAAAATAATAATGTTCTTTGCCTTTGGAAAAAAGGGGTAGGCTAAACAAAAATTATCCTGTCCCTAAGTAACTATGCTTAGTCCGTCCAAAAATGATTGTTTTTCTATTGATAATTTTGAACGATGCTAATTTAAAACTGTTTGATAATCTCATAAAGAGTTGACATGGAGCAATTAATCACTTCATTTGTTAGCATATTTAGTTTCACATCGCTTTTACCACAATATAAAATGTAAAAAGCAAAAATTTACTATCAGGTTAACAATGGCTAACAACAATATTTTCTATTTATAAAAGTGAAAAAAAAAAAATTCTCAAAAAATTCAAATAAAAGTTTTTCCTGTCTGCCTCAGTGCCTGGCCTGCATAATAAACTTCACAAGTTCGGGGGAAACCAACATTCCTTGGCCTTATGTAATACATTGCTGCATAGCAGTCAGTAATGGTAATAATACCTGGAAATACTTGTCAATTAAACTTTTTAGTGGACATAAGTATGAAAAAATCACCTACTGGTACCTGGTCAAAAAATTATATTTACAAGTTAAAACTATCTTTGGAAGATAATTACAAGGTAATATTAGCCTTTTATCTTTAAATTCTAAATAAACCATCATTCATGGAAATGGTACCTCCTGGGTTTGTGTGGATGAAAAATATTTCTCCATGCTGTTTGGCATTCTTAATCCTTTAAGAGTGACTACAGCATTGCAATCATTGCATTTTCTTGTCTATAAATAAACTAAAAAAAATAAGGAGATGTGGTATGATTGCCAATAAGACAACTATCCAACAAAATTAAAATGAATTAAGTGAATGTAATCATTTATCTTCAACCATACAGTCTTCACTCTCCACAAGCAACCTAATGACACAGAAATTAACAACTATAGGTCAACGTACGACCTTCAACAATGAGTAAAGCCCATATGATATCGCATAGTCAGCTATAAATGGCCCTCAAAATGACCATGTAAAATAATTCAAACGACAAAACTAAAGGCCTAATTTATGTACAAAAAACAAAAATGTAACACATAAACAAACGACAACCACTGAATTACAGTATTCTGACTTGGGACAGACACATACATACAGAATGTGGCAGGGTTAGTCTTTTATTACAATTTCTTGATACTATACAGAAATTCTAAATTGAACTTAAGGTATCAGTTTGATGCTTAAAAGCTATGAATAAATGAGGTATGTAAAAATCATAATTTAGTTGAATTTTTTGCTTGTTACAAATCATATGATTTAGGGGTTTTAAAGCATCCCACTCATTTAAAGTAACCATAGCATTAAAGATTCTTCTAACTTTCCATTTTGCAGGTGAACCGTGAATAGACAGTGAATTTTTTTTTTGAAAGGAGTTTTTAAATAACACTTTATGTCAACAGTTTATTGGGGTCTGTTGTTTTCAGTAATTTAAAATTCACACCTGCATGTAGCATATTTGGCCAGGCAATAGGTTATTAACTATACTTGTAAAATTTTATATTTACCTATAAGAATCATATATTTTCAAGAAAAATGTAATGTTGAAACAATTAAATTTAACATACATTTAAAGTATATACTATCATACTGAATAGGCTTTAGCAGTTTAGTTACATTTATTTTAGTTATCATTTTTTTTAGTTAAATAAACATATCAGTATTATTCATTTTAAGGAACTGAACAAAATTTAAACAATTCACCTTATTTTAAAACATGTTTTTATACGACAGCAAAAAAATTTTTGGGATCGTATAATGAATGGTATGATGTCGTCATCGTCCGAAGACACATTGGTTTCCGGACAATAACTTTAGTTTAAGTGAATGGATCTCAATGAAATTTTTTAAGAAGGTTCAATGATGGTCCCAACTGTTTAGGAATTAGGGGCCCAAAAAAGGGGCCCAAAACAAGCATTTTTCTAGTTTCAGGATAATTACTTGTGTATAAGTATTTCGATTGCTCTGAAATTGTACCACAATGTTTAATACCACAAGTAGAAGGTTGGGATTCATTTAAGGGGTAATGGGGGCCAACAGTTTAGGAATTAAGGGCCAAAAAAGGGCCAAAAACAAGTATTATTCTAGTTTCCAGACAATAACTTGTGTGTAAGTGTATGGATCTCTCTGACATTGTACCACAAGGTTCCATATAACAAAGGGAAGGCTGGGATTGAGTTTTGGGTTAATTGCCCTAAACATGTAGGAATGAGGGGCCAAAAAAGGGCCAAAAACAAGCATTTTTCTAGTTTCCAGACAATAACTTGTGTGTAAGTGTATGGATCTCTCTGAAATTGTACTACAAGGTTCCATACTACAAAGGAAAGGCTGGGATTGATTTTTTGGGTTATTGCTCCAAGGGGGGTTTCAAAAAGTTGGGGGGGGGGGGGGGGATTTTTTTCACAATTTTTTTAAGGGATTCATATTTTTTATTCAAAATTTGTAAAATTTGAGATTTTTGAAAAGTTTCAAGACGAAATCTTCAATTGCACAGTATTGCGCAATGGATTTATAAG